CAAAACAATTGTCTAACTAAAGTATAAATTAAACATTTACACATACAATATGCAAATTTTTGTGGAATTTGTAAAACTTAAAATATAAACTCCTCCTGCTTCGGGTTACAATGCAGGATAAAAAAAATGTATCATTCCTTCTTTCATATTTTATTCCTAAGATTTTCTTAAAAACAATTTTTCAAACGTTCATATAAATCAGATAAAAAATAAAAAATGTAAATAACAGTTTCCAATATTAACATGTTACATTATTTATTTAGGAAGTCTTAGTTAATTTGTTGGGAAGTCGTATTATACATATTTGTACGTACCGTAGTATTTTATTTTATTATTTTTTCAATTATGACATAATAAGAACTAATCACTCTTTTTAAATGCATGACATACTTGTGCGACATACTTCTGATGTTAAGAGGGCCAATGTCAAAAACCATCATTTATTTCTTGGTTCTAGTAATACTTTCATAATACCTCTGGTTTACTGGATTAAGGCCTCAGATTTGTTTTAATATTAAGATACTTAAATATTTAAAAAAAAAAAACTTTTTAATAAGTTAGTCGAGAATTTTAAAAAATCATAAATTTTAAAATTTCATAAATACTTCTCTAAAACTAGATACTGTTTACATATGCTATAAATAAGATTATGGTACATATTTTATATTAATATATAAAATTATAATATTTTATATAATTTATATAATATTTTATGCATAATTAGTACATATTTTATTATAATTTATTTACAAGCAGTTATAGAAACAAAATGTATAATTATTTGTTTATAAATTTTAAAAATATTATTAAATGCTTAATGAATGATATTAAATCGATCAGAGTTACTTATTAATGCATACGTAATTATAAACTGTATAAAGTTTATAATGGTTTGTGTAAAATTAAATCTTAAAATATTTTGCTTATAGAATTAAGGAATATTTTAATAAGATTTATGTCAACTTGAGTTATGTTCACCCCATATTTTTTTTTTCTTTAATTAAAGTTAAAGGATTTTAAAGCAAGTGTAATATTCATGCAAGTAATAATAATATGATTATTATAAGAATTAAGGTCTTATATTTTGATTTGATTGAAGTTTAAATTATACATAAGCCTTTTCAAATAAACAATGATAATTTATTGCCTATTAAAAATTTAATAATATTGTTAAGCATTTATATTTTTACTTTTAATCTTTTTTTTTCATTATTATGTTATGTTTGCTCATTTTAATCTGTTTTTTATGCTGTATGTCCTTGAATTTTGATATTAAAAAAAAAAAAATATTTTCTTCCATTCTATAGGGAGAGCATTCTCTATAACAATTGGCTCCTATATTATGCATATTTTATTGTAACTATAAAAATAATCAATTCAAGCATTGCTGCCATTAAGGGTTCATTAAAAAACCTTGGTTTATTCGGTGTGATTATATCTATATAGGAAAGTTTATCCATTCATAAAGATATATTTTATTAATTAGAAAATTTATTTTTTCAAATATTACAGTCTTATCAGCCATTAATGGCAATAGTTTGATGTATACAACCAATCATACAGCATAATAAGGGGAAAAATTAAATTATTAACGAAACAAATAAATTAATATTAAAGTTAGAATGAAAAAAATCATCATAAAGACAGCAATACCAATTAAAAAATAATTATAAAAAGTTAATATTTAGACTATTAATAAACTTTATGTTTTATAAAACTCCCCATAATGACCTCACATCCCATTTGTTCTTGACCTAATCCCAGACAAATTTTTCCAAATTTCACCTGAACCTTACTCATCATCCAAATACTGTAGCACAATCCCTATCTGGCTCCAGCCATCCCTACAATCCTCCCTGGAGGTGAAAACGACCTTTTATAAATATGTACATGTTGGATTTCCAGCGATGTCTAGATTCTCCATTCAGGTCTGTTGCTCTAGTGCCCTCCACCAGTCTCCACTGGCTTCCAAAACCAGTGACACAGCTGGGAGAGAAGCACTGGGATCTCCTGGAGTTCTGCTCTGGCTTCCACATATAGGGAACAAAGCATGATTCAGGGTCCCAAAGTGAATGAGGGCGAATTTAAATTTTATATATAAGTGTGAATGTGTTTTCTTTCATTTAGTTTCTATCTATTATTTCATTTTTTGTACATATGTATATTAATTTTCTTATTTTATTTTCTATATTTCTTTTTCTTTATTATCTCTATTTTAGTTATTATTTGTATGTACATACTGTGACTGATTAATGTAACCCTAATATTAATGCCCTCCCTGGGGCATAATGTATTAATATTCAATTAATAAAACAATCATATATATATATATATATATATATATATATATATATATATATATATATTTCTTTTTTTTTTTATCACACCAATGAAAATGGTTTTTTTAGGCATTAAAGTTGAAGGCATTCTGAAAAATATTTTTATTTATAATTTTTTTTTTTGTTAGTTTAACTCTGATAACTGTCAGAGTGGAATGCCCCTCAACTTAAAAAACCTTTGTAATTCTGTTAGTTTATCTTCGAACGTTTGCGGAATATTTATTCATAATTAATGCTTTTAATTACCATTTCACTTCATTAGCAATCAGGGTTCATTATTTATGATTGTTGCTGTGTGATAATTTGGGATTTACACTAGTAAAATATTGCTTCGTTTTATAATAAATGTTATTTTATTCGTTAATGATCATTGTTTCTTTAACTGCCTTTGATATAAGAAAGAACTCTCTCTCGTAGTGAGCCAGGAAACTCGTTTTCGAAATATCAGCTAATGTATTCCTTTTAAGGTCCTTAAGCCCAGAATACAACTAACCTACTTATTCCCAACTATCTTCTAAGCAACTTCTATAATAGTTACAGAGACAATTTTTAATGAAATTAAATTGTAAATATCTTAGAAAATCCTCAAAAACAAAATCAGAATTATTAAATTCTATAAAAGTATTTAAAAAATAAATTTTGCTCAAATAATTTTAATCTGATCTTTAAAATTAATAATTAATTTTTATTTTTCACCATTTTCTATTAACTAATAATAATTGTTTTGAAACGGAGTAGGGTTTATTTTAATTTTTTTTTTGTGATTAGCAATATTTTACTACATTATTGATTTTAGTTAATGTAATCAAATATATCGGTTTCTGGCAATAACTTGACAACTTGTACGATTTACAGACAAAAAAAAAACAATAATTAAATGTTGTCATAACAACTTTTAATTTTAATTTTTAATCCAATATTTGCATTAAATATGAGAAGGTATGGCATATTCTGTAATGTGCATTTATAATATCAATGATTTATTTATTAATAATCTATAACAAATCAACAACAACAGATTTAATGGATATAAAGTGATTGATTATTCAAGACACGTTTCGCAAAATCAGGTTGAACCATATCAACCATTACACCTAGCCTTAAGAGAGAGAGAAAAAAAAACATGGATTATTAATCAGATTGGAAAAAAATAATAAAAACAAAAATTAATTATCTGAGCTGTTTAAATTACGATATAGATGTATTATGTTTATTTATTATGTTTTAAACTTCGTAAATGTTCTAAATTTGGTTATATTATTATGAAGCTCATATTGTATTTAAAATGAAATTCAGACTATTTTAGTAATTATTAATGTTGTATAAAAAGTTTATTTTTAAAATCGTGTATATTTTTATTGAAATGAGGTTATTTCCCATTGCACTTCATAGAACCATTATAAAATGGGTTACGAGTTCTGACGCCATTTATCGACGCCATCTTGTTTCTCACACGATATATTAACTACATGACTAATTTGTACAATTCTCTTTAATCATTTATTCAAATGATTTCTTCTTATTGTTCGAAATGTCTTATTATTGTTAAAATAATTATTAATATTATTCAGACTAACAATTTTTATGTGATTTACAGTTATAAAAATTTACTGACGCAAAGAAGTATATAATTCCTAAGTTGAATTAATGTTTGATATGTATGTATATGGCAGTAGAATAGCGGAAGTTAAAAACATGGTCAAGATAAAATAACCATGCATTTGATTGCACTAGAGCCGAAAGCTTGTCTTTTAAAATTATAAAATAAATAAAAGGTCTGATGATATTATACATGTGAACAGAATTTGTAAGTTTATTTTTTTTTACTTCTGTCCCGGAAGAATTTCATCACTTTTTTGTATAATTGTTAACAAATTTTTACTTTCACTTACCCATATACGAAATATATAGTATGGGAAGGCTATATTGAAAAATGTTCAATCCTGGTTTTCAATGGAAACACCGATTTCAAAGTCTCCTGTGTTCACATATTCAAGTCTTGCAAAGTAGTCTGTATGTGTGAATATTCTAGCCCAAATTTATTTTAGAATATTGAGATTAATGCTATTTTAAAAATAATATCCGAAGATTTTTCCTTACTGAAAATTTTTGTTTTTCTTCATTCTTTTTATCCATTTATTATTTTGTCAACTTTTGGGGCTCTAGGCCCATCTTCATGGACAATATTTTCCGGGTTATGTTTTCCGTTCCATATAAACAAAAGATTTTGCAACAAGCATCTCTTTGCCATTTTTAATCCACCAGTAACATTTTTCATTATCTAAAATTTTTTAAAACGCCAATATACATTTTTTGGTAGATGAAGCTGCTCATTTTCAATCAATCGAACATAAACCACAAACAATTGTTCATTTAGATGGTCTAGGATCCCAAAACTTTGGCGAAAGTAAAATTAAACAAAATATAAATTAACGGAAGAATAATTTCATTAAAAACGTTGGATTAATTTTTCTAGTATCAATAATAAAACATTGCTATGATCTTAATCATTAAGTCCTAAGAAAAATATTTTTGTTATAAGGTATATGAAAATCTGAACAGTTTTTCTCTCCCAAAAACTTTTTTTTTTTTATGACGTTTTGGGATTTTTTTATTCCATCAGTTCAGATTTTCATATACATTGTTATGATCATCATATGGATGCCATAAACTGTATTTCCATTCTACAATACTTTAATAACAAATGAAATCTTTATTTTTCACTTTTTGTTTAATGAAAATTAAAACGAATCATGTCCAGATTTTTAACGAAATTAGCTTTTAATAAAAGTGATTAATTTAGTTCGTGGAATCTTCTATAATTGGAGGACGTGAGGATAATTGGTGGGCAATTGATTGAGGCTGGAATTAATGTTCTAACGACCCAAAGAGTAATACAAATACCAATATTAAGAGCTTTTTAATCGAGAAGAGGACTGTATAGATTGGCGCTGCGGGCGACGTGAGGAGGCGGAACTAGAGAAGTGGGGGCCAGTTGGCGAGATGGAGGCGGCAGTGATAGACTTCCAGGCTTTCATGGGCCTCGGTCCTTCCAAGTTCATCGTCAAGGAGGTCTCTGTCATGGACCTCGATACCCTCGCCGAGCAGAGCTTCCTCTTCAAGCCCCCCAGGGAGATACCCCAAGAGCGCAGCCCCAGCGACATATGGCTCAAGAAGCACCACCACCACCTGGAATGGAGTCAAGGCAACATCGAGTACTTCATGCTGGAGGATGTTCTTACCAAGAGTACGAAAAAGTTCCGTTTCTTGTTCGCCAAGGGGATAGAGAAGTGCGATTTCCTCGAAGATCTCCTGAGAAAGCACGTGTACGACCTGGAGACGTTCGGCTGCCCGGCGCTGAAGAAGCTGGCCGAGTCCCTCAAGTGTGACAGGTGTCCTCATCACGCGGGAAAGAAGTACGTCTGCGCACACCTGCAGACCATCGGCCTGGCGAAGTGGGCTGTCGCGCACAAGGAGAAGATCGACTTGAGGGATGCTCGTGTGAGGCTGGAGACTTTCAAGAGATGGAGTGTCTTGATGGACCCGTCGAAACTCTCCCAGCAGGGATTCGTGTACATTCGGAAGACAATATCTGGGATAAGGTGCGTCTACTGTGGCCTGCAGATACTGAAGATCAACCCTTCCAGCGATCCTCAAGTTGACCACAAGAGCCTTTCTCCCGACTGCGTTTCCTTCAAAAATAAATTATAGAAAAATGTCAGTTTTTTTCTTTTCATAGCTTTACATCACCAAAAGTATTTGTTACTTTTCCTAATCTGTTAACTTAATCATTTTTATTAATCTACAACTGTATTGTGATAATATTATCACTAACAACATTTTAAATTAAATTTTTACTTTATAAGTTCCTATAATGTATTAGTTATATGTATTCAATTATGTTATGTTTACATATAAAATTTTCCATATTTTATTCTACGTGTTTTATAGAATATTATAGATTTTAAGAAACCTTTATTTTTTTAATCATTAATATGAAAATTCTATAGTTGAATTTTAATCAGTTTAATTAATGCTTTACATTATACAGAAGTAAAATTATATTTTGTAAATATATAGTGACTATTTAATGATAAATTAGTAGCAATTCTATGTAAATATATCTATGCAATACATGGAGACATGATTTAGACTGATTTTTATACTTTAACTATTCTAAAAATATAAAGAAAATTATTTATGTATGAAAATAACTTATTAGCTTAGTAAGATATTCGGAAATAAGACCATGTGATAAATTTAACTACAAATGTTTTATTGATTGTTGCTTATTTGTAATGTCCAATAAATATTTTAATGGTTTCTCTGTTTAAATAAATATAATAATGTATATTATTGTCAGTTAAACTACCTCTGCCTTAGAAAAGATCAAAACTAAGCAACCTTATTTCCTGTTTCCTCTTTTTCTCTTTGACTAACATCAAATATAAACCACACCAGAACACATATATTAACTTCCATATTTTTCATCGACGTCCTTCCTATCATTTCTGAAAATTTATGTCAAATTAAGAAGTATTTTTCTATGATTTTCAGGAATCATTTCAGTTAATTCCTTTATTCAAATGTGATGAGTAATAAATTTGTTTTTACACCATTTAGGTATTTACTGAGTAATTATATCATCATAATTCTCACGGCAATTAAAAAATCCTCATATGATTTCGAATTATGTTAATCCCTCATAGTAAATACCTATCAGTCTTTCGTTGTCGTCCAAAGTATTCAGAATATTGATTAACACAAAATACTCGTTAAATTACCAAACGATCGAAGCATTGAATTTTCGATCAGTTTGGTACATTATATTCAACGACATGTCAATTACATAGATGTACTATATGGGCAAATCACCTGAGTAGAAACGCAGTAGGTGTATTTTTGGATGTTGTCCATGTATAACCAGAAAGATTTTTGTTTTTGGGATTAAATTTTCCTATTCGCCTAATGTTATCGAAGGCACTGCTAGCATAAATACTGGCTTCTCTTCTATACACTACGTATAAAAACGCCATATCTGTTGTTAGGCATTGACTATTAACTGTTCTGACGATTTATTCCTAAAATAAATTACACAAACAGGTCTCAATGATTTTATAAAATCGCGTACTACAATTAGAAGAATGATACACCCTTTGGAATTTTGTGTATGGCATTGAACCAGCACAAACCAAAATATGACATTCACAATACTGTCCAGTTATGACATTCAGTCATATAAATTCATGCATATGAATTTATTATGAAATAAAATGAAATTTAAACCTTTATTTTTAATCAATGTTGATATGACTGGAATCATTATTGTAATTTGTTTTTCTGTTATTCTAGAACAAGGAATTTTCCTCTTGCAACTTGTTTTATACAACTTTTATTCTTATTAAACCTTTTATTTGAAATTTCTGTTGATTTCGCCAAAACGTCGATTTAATAAATGATTTCTATTTTTGGCTACTCAAATAAACGACACGTTAAAATCAAATAATTTGTTTAAGATAATATATTCATTACTCTAATTATACTATCTTAAATGTAATAACATATTTTATTTAAAATAGTATAATTTATGTCTCTAATCTAAACCCCATTACTATTTTTTTCTCATTTAACATTACATTTTTACAACTTAAAATTGTTTGGCTTCTACTAATTACATTGTAACAATTATTTTTTGTCTAATTTTAAGTTATTGCTTCTTTATATTAGTGTTACGATTTATAATTAATTTTACAAAAATAATCGTTATTGTTGCCATTAAACATGTATATTTATTGAAAGAAGTCAGTAGGTTTGATGGAGCATATCTTTTAAGAACGCTTTTGCGGATTTCGGCCTTTTTTTTAGATTAATAAATATAATATAATAACGCTTTCAAATATCAAATGTAGCTACTAAAGTGCACAGTTTTTTTATTTCACAAAGGTAAAATTCATCAAAACTTTTAATGATTTATGGTTGTGAAATTTCATTTAATGTCTTTTTGCTATAAACCGATATATCCTTTACCAGCATTTTAATTTTTTGTTTACATGAATGTTAACGGTATTCTAGTGGCACATTTATTTGATATATTCAAAGGATATTCTTGAATATAGATATTAACACATTATTTTATTTAATATTTTTAAATTACTGTTCTGATTTCTAATTATTATGTTGTTTTTTTGTTTTGTTTTTCAGGTCAGTTATTTAACGGTTGGCGATATTAAGGTTCAGGAGGTTTATGTATTATCAGATTCAGAGGTAACATGACATTGAATCCATTTAAATTACCTATTTATAGTTAATGAAGGTATACAATTTGAACTGAATTAATTATTTAAATTTACGTGCAGCACGCAAAAAAAACATTAGTGTGAATAAACTATAATAGCAGTAAATTAGTAAATGTACCCTTTTTTTAAAAAATGTTTACAGATATTAGTCAGTTTGAGCTTAAACCTATTTATTTAGTTCTGTCCACAGTAGCAATGGATGCTTTGTAAATAAATAAATAAAAAAATTAAACAGTAAGGAGTATTTCTCATTCTTTCTTCGAGTTTAAAGATTAAATTATGCTTTTATATAATTATTATTATTTAGAGAGAGTTTATTTATAGAGATATGTCTCAGTTTGACGCATATCTGAGACACCTACTGTGTTTAATTTCAGTGCTGAATCATCATATTATTCCTCTTTTTTTTTTTTTTTTTGTTTGTTGTTACTGTTTGTTTTGTATACTTTAGAATGTTTAACATTGGAAATAACCGGATAGAAAAATGTTTTATGCATATCAGATTAAAATTGAACCAAATTTGAGATCAAATAATATTTTTACAATAATTATATTCCCAGTGTATTAATTCATATCGATTTAATCGATATGAATTAATACACTGATTAATACAATGAATTCAGTCGAAAGACTGAATTTATTTAATGTTGGAGGTTTTAGCAAAACACCACAGTTCTATACCCTAAGCCCAAATTGGTTTAAGTAAAACATCATACAGGTTTAGTTTGTTTGTTAAAGATGATTTTTATAATCTGTCAACTAACCTGGATAAAAGACCGTATTGTTAAATTTCGTTTTTATCCTCCAAGTTAGTCTTTAGTTTAGATGAAAATCCACATATCTAATTTCATCGGATGTTCCTCATATGTTATTGAAATATATTTCGGGGCAAGGTGTAATGATTTTTAAAAAACATATTTGTGTTCAATGTGGTTGAACTAATGTTCCGAAACAACTAGAAGATAATTTTTTTCCCGTTGTAACCAATGAAAATAGTGAGGTTTTATTTTTTTCTTAATTAATTTGTTTTAATTTGTCCCCAAACCTTTTCTCCCTATTTTTTTTTTTTTAATTATTTGTAAGTACCTCCATCTATTAAAATTGAAAACATTTCCAGGAGGTTTTGGTGTCGTATTTAAACTAGACCTGGGCAGAATTTATTTGAAAAATATTCCCGGAATAAATCCCTAAATAAACCTCAATAGTTATTTCCGAAATAATTTATTTCATGAAATAACCTGACCATTATTTCCGAAATGATTATTTCGGGAATAAATTATTTCAGGAATAACGATATCTGAAATGATTATTTCAGGAATAATGTGAAATCTGAAATAATCATTCCGATCGACTTTTAGATATAATCAATATCCGGGTCGACTGTTATGTTTTCGGGGTAGCTTATTATGAAAATACGGTCGAATTTGAGATTGCACCACCCCCTCCCCGCCCCCCATCGACTTTTTGTAACTTTTCAGATATAATCGATATCAGGGTCGACTATTATGTTTACGGGGGCGCTAGTTATAAAAATACTGTCGAATTTGATATTGCACCACCCCCTCCCACCCCCCATCGACTTTTGTAACTTTTCTGATATAATCGATATCAGGGTCGACTTTTATGTTTTCGGGGGCGCTTTTTATGAAAATACTGTCGAATTTAATATTGCGCCACCCCCTCCCCACCCCCCATCGACTTTTTGTAACTTTTCAGATATAATCGATATCAGGGTCGACTATTATGTTTACGGGGGCGCTAGTTATAAAAATAATGTCAAATTTGAGATTGCGCCCCCCCCCCACCCTCTCACATCAACTTTTTGTAACTTTTCAGATATAATCGATATCAGGGTCGACTATTATGTTTTCGGGGGCGCTAATTATAAAAATAATGTCGAATTCGATATTGCGCCACCCCCTCCCCACCCCCCATCGACTTTTTGTAACTTTTCAGATATAATCGATATCAGGGTCGACTATTATGTTTTCGGGGGCGCTAATTATAAAAATAATGTCGAATTCAATATTGCACCACCCCCTCCCCACCCCCATCGACTTTTTGTAACTTTTCTGAAATAATCGATATCAGGGTCGAATATTATGTCTTTAAGGGCGCTAATTATAAAAATAATGTCGAATTCGATATTGCAGCATCCCCTCCCCACCCCCCATCGACTTTTTGTAACTTTTCAGATTCAATCGATACCAGGATCAACTAATATGTTTTCGGGGTAGCTAATTAAGAAAATAAATAGAGGTAGAATTTGAAAAAGATATCCCAAAAACATAAAAGACCACTCTGATATCGATTACATCGGAGAAGTCACTAAAAGTCGATTGGAGGGAGGCTAGGCGCAATCTCAAATTCGACCGAATTTTCGTAATAAGCTACCCCGAAAACATAATAGGCGACCCTGATATCAATTAAATCCGAAAGGTTACTAAAAGTCGATTGGAGGGAGGCTAGGCGCAATCTCAAATTCGACCGAATTTTCGTAATAAGCTACCCCGAAAACATAATAGGCGACCCTGATATCAATTAAATCCGAAAGGTTACAAAAAGTCGATTGGGGGGGGGCAGGAGGGGGCGCAATCTCAAATTAGACCAGTATTTTCATAATAAGCTACCCCGAAAACATAAAAGTCGACCCTGATATCGATTATATCTGAAAAGTTACAAAAAGTCGATGGGGGGTGGGGACGGGGTGGTGCAATATCAAATTCGACAGTATTTTCATAAAAAGCGCCCCCGAAAACATAAAAGTCGACCCTGATATCGATTATATCTGAAAAGTTACAAAAAGTCGATGGGGGGTGGGGAGGGGGTGGTGCAATATCAAATTCGACAGTATTTTCATAAAAAGCGCCCCGAAAACATAAAAGTCGACCCTGATATCGATTATATCTGAAAAGTTACAAAAAGTCGATGGGGGTGGGGAGGGGGTGGTGCAATATCAAATTCGACAGTATTTTCATAAAAAGCGCCCCCGAAAACATAAAAGTCGACCCTGATATCGATTATATCTGAAAAGTTACAAAAAGTCGATGGGGGGTGGGGAGGGGGTGGTGCAATATCAAATTCGACAGTATTTTCATAAAAAGCGCCCCCGAAAACATAAAAGTCGACCCTGATATCGATTATATCTGAAAAGTTACAAAAAGTCGATGGGGGGTGGGGAGGGGGTGGTGCAATATCAAATTCGACATTATTTTTATAATTAGCACCCCCGAAGACATAATATTCGACCCTGATATCGATTATTTCAGAAAAGTTACAAAAAGTTGATGTGAGAGGGTGGGGGGGGGAGGGGCGCAATCTCAAATTCGACCGTATTTTCATAAAAAGCGCCCCCGAAAACATAATAGTCGACCCTGATATGGATAAAATCCGAAAAGTTACAAAAAGTTGATGGGGGGTGGGGAGGGGGTGGCGCAATCTCAAATTCGACAGTATTTTCATAAAAAGCGCCCCCGAAAACATGGTGCATATTGGTAATTTTTTTATGTTATTTCAGAACAACGTTATTTCTGAAATATTTATTTCTTGATTTTATGCAATAATTTATTTATGAAATAAATAATCCTGAAATAATAGTTATGAAATAATTTATTTCAGAAATAATTCATTTCGAAATAATTTACATTATTCCAAAGAATCTTCAAATAGTGAAATAATTATTTCAGAAATAAATTCAGAGTTATTCCATCGAGATTATTTCGTTGACTGTTTGAAATATT